AGAGAAAGAATTTTTCTCCCAAAGAAAAATTCTGCAAATTTTTGTTCTTAAAGTTGGTGATTTTACTAGCCAATAAAATCAACCAACGGCATTCATCGTGTCTTCGTGTGGATACTGTTTGTGCACTCCTACCTTGGAGTGGAAGTGAATCTAAATCCCTTGAAGGAGCATCCAAACATTGGTATGGTTTCTATTACATCTTGATAATTATTTTTAGTGTAAAATAATGTACAGCAAATATAAGTTTTATGGGTTAGGTTTTGGATATAAATTTTTAAATTTCACTTTGTGAATAGATCCATAAACCTACACTGCCCAAGGCTAGAAAAGGTTGTCTTAAAATCAGGTATTTCCCTATCTTCCTCCATGTCTAACACTATGAAATCTACTAGGAAAATCAGTTTATCTACCTTAATCAAGACGTCTTCTACCACTCCCTTAGGATATGCTATTGATCAAATTAGCTAATTGGAGAGACACGGTGGTTGGCTTCACTTCTCCCAATCCAAGTTTCCTGTAAATAGAAAACAACATTAAATTAATGCTTGCCCCTAAATCACATAAAACTTTATCAAAATAACAACTACCAATAATACAAGGGATAGTAAAACTTTATCAAGATGGTAGTTGTTGAGTGTTGAAAATGTGGATTTATTTTGTGATTTGGGGGTGAAATTGTAAGAAATTAAAGTTTGAACAAATAATTTAGGATGAGTTTTCGTACTTGTTTTGTTATCTCCCAAAATAACAGGTTTTGTTGTGTTTTCAAGTATTTAGGTGCAAAAAGATGGATTTTCATGTTTGTGTTGGTGTTCAAACATCCTGGACCCGTCGAGTGTGGATAAATCAAGGCGGGTGGAAAAGGTGTGAAAGTCCACATCTGTGCTGCAACACACTTTTCTAAGCTGCGACGTGAAGATGACAAAACAAAAATAGAGCCTCAACACACTTTTATGAGCCATGGCAGAAATTCAATGAAATCCAAATTGTGTCACGGCACAATTCGTTCGTGCTGCAGTGTGATAGGGTTTTTGTCCAGGGAAAAATCGCCTGGAGACACCATAGCACAATTCATCTGAGCCACGGCGCAATTGAAGTGAGCTGCTGCGCAAATCGCGATATTTGGAAAAAATCTGCATTTTCAACCCCAATTTGGGCGACCATTATTTACAATGATGTCATTTTGCTTAAAAACTATATAAAGGCAACTTTACTCTGATTTTCAGATATATTAAGTTATATAGAACACTTTTTCAACTTTGGAGGCTTAGGAGAGAGTAATTGATTGTGTAAGGCTAAACCTTGATAATCTTGAGTGGATTTTGCATCCAAATGTGTAAGCGTAAGATCAAGGTTTGTTTTCTTGTATTTATAAGTAGCTAAACTCTTTCCTAGTGTATCCAATGTAATCTAATTAGACTACTTTATGTTTATTTTTTAATCTATTTTTTAATTGTTCCAATTGTATCTTAGTTTCGTTCATTTATGTTTATTGAGTTGATTAATCATTATTATTGCATGATTGCCTTTGATTTATGGTTGAATGGTTGTATGAGTCAAGGTTAAGCTACACGCCACTGGCTAATCTTGAATAACTCTTGATCTTTGATCGCAGTTGATGTTTGATCATGTTTAATAGTTCATTGATTGACTTTATGAGTTGGGGTTAGGCTACACGCCACTAGCTAATCTCAAATTGCTCCAATGAACGATTGATTTATGTCTGTGCAATACGTTAATAGATGTGAGTTGGTTTGTGTTCGTTTTGGTATTTTTATGCATAATGGATTTTTGTGATTTAGACTAGGCTACATGCCACTAGCTAGTTTGGATTATGAAAACACTAGGTTGATCCAATTGGCCACGGCAAGACCTTACCTTGGTAAGTATCAACCCTAAGATTTGGATCGATAAACATTGGTTAGATTAATAACATAAATTCGGATAATTATGGTGGGATAATTATGGTGAAATTGGATACAGTGGAGCATTTCTCATTGTTGATCACTTGTTTAGATATTGTTTTCATCTTAGTTGTTATTTTAATATAATTTTTTTGTTATTCTTATTTGAATTTTAGCTAATTTGGATTTTATTAAATTGTTGGTAATTTTATTATCTCACTTGATTTTATTATTTTAGTTGTTTTTACAAAGTATTAGATTAATTGATAGCTCAACTCTTTGTTAGATCGACCCTTACTTGTGCACTGTATTGCAATAGCGACCCATGCACTTGCGAAGGAATTAAAGTTGTTTTTAACCGAATAAGTTTTTGGTGCCGTTGCTGGGGAGTTAGAGTTATTTGATTTCTTTAATATTTGTGTTTTTATTTTTGTAGTTAGATTTTATTTTATTTTAATTTAATTATTTTTATTATTTTCTAGTTGTTTTGTTTACACTTTTTCTTTGTTTTGAGTTCTTTTGAATGCAAGGTCGTCGATCGTTGGGCGAAGAAGTGCTTCTTTATTTTGACAGGGTGAATTTGATTGGTAGAAAGAGAAGAGAACCTAAAAGTTTGGAATAATCAAGTGTTTCAAATTCAGAATTAGAAGAAGAAAGGGCGAACCATCCTTCCCAATGAAGGAGTATGTGCGTCCTACCATTGGAACGTCACCTCTTGTATTGTTTTGACTGCTGTAGCGAGGAATTATGAGTTGAAGAGTATCCATTTCCGGATGCTTCCTTCGTTCCATGGGATGGCCACTAAAGATCCATTAACATTTATTAGAGATTTTTACTTAACCGTACAAACTTTTCCTTTGCAGAGTTTGACTGAAGATCAATTGAGGATGAGATGCTTTCCATGTACATTGAAGGATGTAGCAAAGAGCTGGTTGATGTCATTGGCACCGGCTTCACTTACCACTTGGGACTTAGTCTACAACTAGTTCATAGGTAAATTTTATTCTCATGCGAAGACTGTAGAACTAAGAGGTAAAATTGCTACTTTCTCTCAACTTGATGGCGAGCCATTCCATGAGGCTTGTGAAAGATTTAAATTGGTTTTATTTTAATGTCCACATCATAGATACCTTTTAGAATTGTTGAATCAATTTTCCTATGATAGATTGACACAGGCTTGCCATGCCATAGTTCACAATGCTGCAAAAGGTGCCATGGGAGAAAAGACTGTAGAGGAGACATATGAGTTGTATGAGATGCTTGGCGCCAACTCCCAACCGAAGAGTGTTAGAGGGAAAATAAAGGAATCTAAGAAGTGAGTGCTAACACCAAGTTGGCGATGCTAGTGTCCGAATTGGCAAAGTAAGTCAAGACCATGTGCAATATGATGATGGGCAAGGATAAAGTAGTTCCAATGAGGTATGTGCTATTTGTGGTAATGTTGGCCATACTATAATGTTTGTCCTTCAGGTGAGAGTTTTCCAAAAGTTGTGGAGCAAGCAAACATGATGAACTCTTACAACCAAAGACCCCATAATCTATATTCAAACACATACAATCCTAGGTGGCGAAACCATCCAAACTTTTCATGGAGAAACAACCAGCCACAAGGAAGTTCTGAACACATCATACAACAAAAAAAGCCATCATTGGAGGAGACATTGAACAATTTCATTCAAGCTTCTCAAAAGAACAATCAAAACTTCGAACAGAGATTCCAGCAATAAGATGTAGCCATAAGGAAGATGGAAGTCTAGATAGGCCAAATTACAGAATCATTATGAGGCCATGTTCTTGGGAAGTTACCAAGCCAACTCGAGCAAGCGAAAACGGTCATAGTTTTGAGGAGTGGTAAGGTAATTAACAAGGACATCAATTCTGAAACTAATGAGCCCTTGTCTAATTTTGCAGGTAAAAGGAAATAGGAGAAGCAGCCAAGTGCACCTGTGTAGAGTGAGGAGACTGAAGATCCACATGTGCCGCCAAAGCCTTATGTTCCACCTATTCCTTTTTTGGGACGCTTGATTAAAAGCAAATGGGATAAGTCATTTTCTGAAATATATGACATTTTATCTAAGGTTAATGTGAACTTACCTTTGCTTAATATGATTAGGAACATGTCAGCTTACACGAAATTTTTTAAGGAGTTGAACACCCATAAGTGTAAGTATGAGCCGCACGAGAAAGTGATGATTTCAGAGACGTTGAATGCATTGCTCCAATGCAAGTTATCAACCAAGCTGAAAGATCTAGGGAGCTTTGTTATCAACATCACTATTGGTAAAAAGAAAGAAGAAAAAGTGATGTTGGACTTGGGTGCAAGTATCAACCTCATACCATATTCCATCTATCAGCAGTTGGGACTGAGAGAACTAAAACCTACAACAATGACCTTGCAATTGGCAGATCAATCAGTGAAATATCCAAGACGAATTGTTGAAGATATTTTAGTTCAAGTTGACAAACTAGTTGTTCCTGTTGATTTTGTGGTGTCGGATATGGAGCAGACTTAAAACCATAGCAGAGAGTTGCCTATTTTGCTAGGACGTCCCTTCATGGAAACAACAAAGACCATCATCGATGTGTAAAATGGAAAGTTAAAACTGATGGTTCTTGATCAAACCGTTGAATTTTCAGTTTCCAATTCTATGTCTTTACCTTCAGATACTAATGATTGTCTTGCAGTTGATTTTTTGGATCCTATCATTGTGTCTAGTTTTTTGTAGGGGGAGACTAAAGATATACTGGAGTTGACTTTGATAGTAAAGGATGGTGAGTTGAGTGATGATGAGGCTAGGGAGTATGTGTAGGAGTTGGATAATGAGATTAGGGACATGTCTGATGAGGAATTAAGGACGACGATTGAGCATGTTGAGGTCAAGTTAGTTTCTTCCATTGAATCCCCACCTAAGCTTGAGTTAAAACCCTTACCACCTACCCTTAAGTATGCTTACTTAGGAAAATATCAAATCCTCCCTGTAATTATAGCTTCAAACCTAACCATTGAGGAGGAGGAGAAATTACTTAAAGTGTTCAATGATCATAAGGTAGCCATAGGTTGGATAATAGTAGACATAAAACGGAATTAGCCCCACTATGTGCATGCATAAAGTGTTGTTGGAGGAAGATGCTAAACCAACTAGGGAAGCTCAAAGGAGGTTGAATCCGCATTTGCAAGAGGTGGTGAGAGTTGAGGTGTTAAAATTACTTGACGCTAGGATCATTTATCCTATTTTAGACAACAAGTGGGTGAGTCCAGTTCATGTGGTACCAAAGAAGTCGGGCATTATTGTGGTAAGAAATTCTGATGATGAGTTAGTACTGACTAGGATGACTACAGGGTGGTAGGTTTGCATTGATTACAAGAAGCTGAATGCTACAACTAAAACATATCATTTCCCTCTTCCTTTTATTAATCAAACGTTAGAAAGATTGGCTGGTTATTCTTATTATTGTTTTGTTGACGGTTTTTCATGTTACAATCCGATTCTTGTCAATCTAGAGGATCAAGAGAAGACGACATTCACATGTCCATTCGAAAATTTTGCATATAGGAAGACGCCCTTTGGATTGTGCAATGCTTCAGCCACGTTTCAAAGGTGTATGATGTCCATCTTTTCTGATATTACTGAAAATTTTATTAAGGTGTTTATGGATGATTTTTCTGTTTTTGGGTCGTCATTTGATAAATTCCTTGATAATTTAACTTTGGTTTTGAAAAGATGTGTTGAAACGAATTTGACATTAAGTTGGGAAAAAAGTCATTTCATGGTGAAGCAAGGAATTGTTTTATGGCATGTGGTAACTAGTAGAGGTATTGAAGTAGACAAAGCTAAGGTTGACTTGATTGCTAAATTGCCACCACCCACATCTGTGAAGGATGTACGAAATTTTCTTGGTCATGCAGGTTTCTACAGGCAGTTCATAAAGGATTTTTCTAAGATTAGTAGGCCTTTGTGTAATCTCTTGGCTAAAGAAACACCTTTTGATTTCAATGATGAATGCTTGATTGCTTTTAATATTTTGAAAGATAAACTCACATCTACATCTATTACCTATTCTTATGTCACCTGATTGGTCACTTCAATTTGAGTTGATGTATGATGCTTCTAATTACGCATTAGGGGCAATTTTAGGACATAGAGTAGGAAAAGTACATCATGTTATTCATTATGCAAGTCATACTTTGAATGATGCACAAATTAACTAATTGACCACTGAAAATGAATTCTTGGTTGTTGTGTCGCTTTAGAAAAATTTCGCTCTTATTTAATTGGTTCTAAAGTGATTGTGTTTTTAGATCATGCTGCATTAAGATATTTGTTAGGTAAAAAGGACACTAAGTCTAGGTTAATCAGATGAATTTTATTATTTCAAGAGTTTGATTTGACTATCAAGGATAAGAAGGGAAGTGAGAATGTAGTGGTTAATCACTTGTCTAGACTTATAAAGACAGCAAGCCAAGAAGAGCATAATCAAGATGGGGAATATCCCCTCATTGAGAACTTCCTTGATGAACAACTTGTTTCCATCCTTGGAAAAGAACCTTGGTATGTTGACATTGTGAATTATCTTGCATGTGGTATGATCGACCCGGATTTGACCTTGCAGGAAAAGAAGAAATTCTTTTCCATTGTTAAGCATTACTTCTGGGATGATCCTTATTTGTTTAAAAGTTAGTCAGATCAAATAATAAGGAGACGTGTCCCTAACTCAGAGTAGCAAGACATTTTAAGACATAGCCACGAATAACCTTGTGGAGGACACTTTGGTGGCAAGAAAACGACACTTAAGGTATTACAACTGGTTTCTATTGGCCATCCTTATTTAAAGATGCTTTTACGTTTTGTGCAGGATGTGATCATTGCCAACGGACAGGGAATATTGGCAAGAGAGATGAGATGCCACTCACGACATTTATGCCGGTTCAATCGTTTGATGTGTGGGGCATCAACTTTATGGGTCCGTTTCCTAACTCTTTTGGTTATACTTATATACTTTCCATAGTTGATTATGTTTCAAAATGGATTAAGGCGATTGCCATAAAGACTAATGATAGTGAGGTTGTACTCAGTTTTCTTAAACACTTTATTTTTACCAGTTACGGTACCCCTAGAACTATTATTAGTGATGGGGGGAGTCACTTTTGTAACAAGTCTTTTGCAACATTGTTGAAGAATGTGGCAACTCCGTATCATCCTCAGAGTTCAGGGCAAGTAGAAGTAAGTAACAAGCAAATCAAGGCCATTTTAGAGAACCGTTTGCATATCAAGGAAAGATTGGGCAATGAAACTGAATGATGCTCTATGGGCATATCGGGTAGCTTTCAAGACTCCACTAGGGATGAGTCCCTATAGGTTAGTCTTTGGGAAAGCATGCCATCTACCAATGGAGTTGGAGCATAGAGCGTATTGGACAATCAAATGATTGAACTTAGACATAGACAAGGCTAGACAAGAAAGGAAATTGCAACTAAATGAGTTGGATAAGCTTAGGAAAGAAGCTTATGAGAACGCTAAGATCTACAAGGAAAGAACTAAGTTGTACCACGACAAAGTAATATGATGGAAAGAATTCCAATGAGGTATGAAAGTGTTACTTTATGACTCATGGTTGCATCTTTTTCCAAGGAAATTGAAGTCAAAATGGATTGGGCCATTCATAGTTTGAAAAGTGTTCCTTCATGGAGCGGTGGAGATAGAAAACTTGAAGACGGGAAACCAATTCAAAGTTAAACAAGGAAGTGGAGTACGTCAATGATCTTGAAGGGCGATCGAGCATCTCGTCTAGCTTAAGATGATAAACAAACGCTTATCGATAGGCAACCCAAATGTTTCTTTTCCTTTGTTTATTTAATTTTTATTTTATTGCTTTTGTTTAGTTTTTCTGTTTATTTCAGTTTACTGTTTTGATTGTGTTATTTTGTATATTTTATTTTGTGTGTTTGAATTTTCAGGAATTCTAACACTTGGTTTAATATTTCCAGGAAAACCACTTCATGCTGCAACGCAGATTATTCAAGCCATAGCATAATTGTATCCTCAGACTTGACGACGGCACAAATGCGCAATCAGGCCACAGTGCAAATCATTCATGCTGTGGCGAAAAAGCAGTGAATTTGAAATTCAATAACTCAAAAACGTCACGGGGCAAAAATTTTAGGCCACAACTCATTTATGTTGTTCTTCATTTTGAGTGTGAAAACCTGAATCATGCCACAACACAAAACTTTGCACCTAGTCCTATTCGCAGAATATAAAAGAGTTCATCAGATTTAATTTGCGCCATAGCGCAGTTCTTCGCACTTTCTCAAATGTTTTCATTTGATCTTGCATTTTTCTTGCTGGAAATCACTTCTCACACATCCTCAACACTTGTTTAACCTTGATTTTGCAAATTCAGGATTGATTTTAGGTTGGATCGATTTGGGCATTTTTTATTTTAGGGCAAGTCAATCTTAATGCAAGGTTTTGATCATTGATTCTGATTGGGTAAGCATCCTTGACTGCTTTTTTTATCTTATTTTATTTGCATATTTGGCTCTAGATTATTGAGTTGAGTTGATTAAGTGTTTTGGGTGTTGATTGAGTGAGATTTTGATTGCAGTTGGAGTTGGAGTTGATTGTGTATTGTGTATTGTGTTGTGATTGGGTGTTGTGTGATTGCCGTGTAATTGGGCATTAGGCAAAATTGTTGGTGGAGTTGTGTTATTGTGTTATTTTTAGAGTGTCGGTACCGAGATTGATTGTTATGGCATCGCAAAAGAGGAGTAAAGATGTGGCTAGTTCTAGGGACACCCATAATCCTAGATTTGTGAGTTCATATGTTGAGGATAGGTATAAGAATAAAGTTGTTAATGGAAGAGGATTCGTGGATGAACGAGGGTTTGATTTTAAGAATCCTTATGAGGGCATTACTGACATTATTAGTGATTTGAGTTGGGAGGGCTTTATAGCCCAACCAAGAGTAGCTGTTGAGCCTCTTGTGATGGAGTTTTATGTTAATGCCTTCGAGCATAGAAATGGAAGAATTAGGATTAGAGGGTAGGAGGTGAGATTTGATGGCAAGAGGATTAACGAGCTTTATGGGTTACCGACTACTTCTAAGGAGAAGGATGATTTGTCTAGATTTCTTGAGGACCCAGATTATGATGAGGTGCTATAAAGTTTGACAGAGGGTCGAGGAGACTGGATTCTTGGTCGGAACGATAGAATAAAGGGTTTTGCTGCGACTTCACTCACACTCACTCATAGGGTATGGGAGCATTTTGTATGTACCAAGATCTATCCTTCAAGGCACCTTAGCACAGTGGACATTGAGAACACTCTCATTGTTAGTGTATATTAGTGTATGCCCTAGAAACCATTCGTGTTGTTAGTTTCAGAGCATTTTGTCTTGTATCTATATATATCATAAATAATAGAAGAAAGAGTTCTTCAATTCATATATGTAAATTGCTTCCTTATTCAGTCATGCATTTAAAATAAAGTAGTATATGAATTGTCCAGATGATTCATTTAGGTAAATGAAATCGAAAAGGGTTCCCTACGGAAGCAATATAAATTTGGGCAACTATATTGCACAGTAGGCATACCGGATGCTTCGAAGATATATGATGTGATATAAGTATGGATGACGATGATAATCATGTCACTGGGGCATTGGTATGGATAACGGTGGTGAACTATTTTTCGAACGTGACCGAAACGACAAATCACTTGAAAAGATGTAGGCAATGATTTATCATTTGGTTATATCAGTGCACGATGTAGTCCTTTGACCTGAGAAATTGTACGCGATCCGATATGGATGCGTATGTGTCATACGGTGTATAAGTACGAGACTAACATGTTTCGTACAATAAAGCCTATTTGGTCATGCGTTGTTCAATGCGGAAACGAACGATGGTCAAGAGAGAGTCCATTGACTCGGAAATATAGGATCGAGAGTACCGCTGACCATCCAGATTCGAGTTCCTAGAAAAACATCGATAAATGCGAAAAACTGAATCTCTGGCCAGAGTATATTATTAGTCATACAAAAGTAAGTTTGCGATGACAAGTTCGGACATATTGATCGACAATTCGGTAGAGATCGAGTTTAGGATTTTGACGTTCCATGAATCCATAATCGATTAGGATATCTCAATGGAGGGACTTACCTGCATGGTACGTATGATCTGAAATGGGTTCGATGAAGTATTCTTCACGTGGTTTAGGGACTATGGCACATTGCTAGATGTTACCATAGTCGTTGGGCTCGGACAGGTTCCGGATTCATCCAGAACTGGCTCACGGCCAATCCACGGTGGACCTACATGGTCACACCAATAGCCTTGAGAAGTTAGAGAAGGATGAGAGAGAGGAATGATTATCCGAGAGGGCTAGCACCTTCCGAGGGTAATAACGGGATTTCTATGGTAATAGTTACATAGAAAATTGTTTGTGACATTTAGGGTTAAAATGGTCAAGCAATAATTAATATTTTAATTATTAATCTTAAAGTGTTAGATTAAATCTAAAGTGTTTAGATTAATAAGATGAACAAAAATAACCTTTTATAGTTAAGGGTAAAAGGGTAAATTTATGGGTTGTTAATGTAAACTAGTTTAGTTTACATGGGCCCTTGAATAATATTGATTATTCAAAGGGTAGCATAATAAAGTCGTGGGTCCCTTTATAAAATAAGATTTTGGGCTGGAAGTGAAAAATAAATAATTGCAAATTGCCCAAGTATATAAATGCAAAAGGTTGCATTTTTGTTCATAACACACATTGTTCACTCAAAGCAAAACTAAAACCTCTCTAAACCACAGCCACTCTTTAAACCTCTCAAGGTGGTGTTAAAGTGTGGAGGTCTCATCCTTTTAGGGCTAATCTTCATCAATCCAAAGCAAAGGAGAAGGTATAATCTCAATCATGCTTGTTAAAAACAGGTTTTTGAATCCATGCTTTCATGCTTTCATTCTCCATCTCCACCATTTCATGCATGCTGATTCTTACACTCATGATGTAGCCATATCTCAGCGGGTGCGGATCAACATAGGGGAGATTTTTCATTCACAGATTGAATGCGTCCAGATCTTCTAAATCCTATCTGTATCCCAACTCATCACGCCTTAGTGCATGTATGGGAGTTTTTATAGGGATGATGAAGTGAAGAGACCACCACTTCCACAGCTGACATTGAAGATCTCCAGAGATTACCGTGGGGTAGTTATGTATGTGTTTTTTATTTAAAAAAAAAAAAAAGAAGCCTGAAAAGAGTACATATTTGTAACAACTACTAAAAACTGGTACAATGCAGCATAATAACAATGTAAAATTGGGCCCCCAAAAATTTCTTTTATTATAATTCATATGTCTTTATTACACAAGAGTACTGTTTACAAAAATTTGTTTTAAAAGACAAAACAGGGGAAACAGTGTAGCTATTCCTCTTCGCTTGCGCGTCCCTCCGACGCATCATCACGATCCTGCATCACAAAGGAAAATAACGGGTGAGCACAAATAATGCTCAGTAAGTAAAACCCTCTATGTCTGTCCCCGTATGTATAACTCTTAATTCTTTCCTATATATATTCTGATTCTATCTTTGTTTCTACTAAACATCATGGCCTCATCTTACGGAGGTACGGCCGGATGGCATTCACAAAGACATCTCACTCTTCATGACTATCGGGTGGAATCACACAGTACCAACCCGTTCTAGTGACTACCGAGTGGGGATCACAAAGCACCTCGGTTTTCCTAACTATGGGTGGAGACCACTTAGCACCTACCCGTTTCTATGACTTTTGGGTAACGATCACAGCATTAACCCATCTCTGTCGCTGTCGGGTGATGATCACAAAGCATCAACCCACTTCTACTAAATGTTGGAGATGGTCACAAAGCATCTACCCATTTATCTAACAGCTAACCGAGTAGGTCACAAAGCATCTACCATTTCTACTACTCATGGTGATGATCACAAGACATACGACCCATCTCTAAGGGCTATTCGGTGGTGATACAAAGCATCATCCCGATTCCATAACTGTCGGGTGATGATCACAAAGCATCAACCCATCTATTCACTCTCTAATTCACTCTATTCTAGCATTTTTCATCTCTCTCTACTCTTAGAGTAGTTGCATCCACCAAGCTCTCTACTCATAGGGTAATTGCATACACAGTTTCTACACTTTCTTAGGTCACTTTTCAATGCACAATTAGTGCTATGGATGGTCATTCTCCACTAATGCACTTATGAAATGCAACAATGCAATGTTGCAAGAATTAAGGTTCACTACTCGTAC